CACCCCCCCCCCCCCTCACCCAAGCATTTGAGATGTTGGCCCTATAAATGTCTGCAAAGGCTAATAGTTATCCCCCTATTTTGGAAAGTGGGGGTGCCCCCTCATGCTGAAGATGATTTATCAGAGGGTTTTGGGGACTTGAAAGCTCAGGGTTTGTGGGCAGACTGGGGACCAGGGTTGGGCTTGAATTCGGAGGCTAAGACCTGGAAGTAGCAAAATGAACTCTGCTTGGTTTCCAAGGACAGATGAGCCTTCCAGAGTGAATGGGTTCTCAAAGTATATGTACAACCAAAACCTTTTTCTTAGCTTTGAATAGAGTAGGGAATGGTTAGGATCCACTAGAGAGATTTCCCCCCATTTCCTGTCCAGCTGACAACGTTTTAACAGACAGAACAAAGAAATAAAAACACTTTTTACTGCAAAGTAGAAGGGTAGAACCCTTGTTAGACTTTAATTGTCTGTGTCTCTGTTGCAGATTTTCTTTCACTTCCTGCCTGGTAAAACTTTGGCACTGGGACAAAGTGAGAAAACTTTTTCTAACAAAGACCCAGAAAGCAGTAAAAAAACAAAAAACAAATTTGGGGGGGGTTGGCACACATTTTAAGGAGTGTTTACGTAATTTAGGCCTGGATCCCTCACCGTGACTTTAGGCTCCACATTCCATATTTGTTTTAGGTTCCATATTTTGTTGCATTAATCTCAGTCCCTGCTTTTTCTACTTACAGGTATAACAGTAAAATAATTATTCACACACATTCAAATAAAATGCCACCATCTATACCTGCTTTTCTGCTGATTCTGTTGTTTCTTTCCTTTGTTCACTTCCTTGAAGCGAAAGTATATCTACCCTTTCTCGCTGTACTACTGTCTGCTCTGGTGCACTGTTCCGTCTGTCTTTGAATCCTTTGTTTTTTGTCAAGATTCTCCCGGGTTTTTTCTGTAAACCCTTAACCCCATTCTTTTGATCCAGTCTGGTCTCTGTATCTTTTTGGCTTTCCAGCTTTGTTAACCCCACTGATTCTGGTCCATTCTGAGACAGGCCTACTGAGGCCCTGTGACTATCGACACCATTTATTGACTTTGTAGTTTGTTGCGCCTCAACCTTCTCAGATGAATCGGGCTCACTGCCAATGTTGGGGTCATCCAGTGATAAATGAATACTTGATTTCTTTCCAATGTGGGTAACCCTGAATCTAGAAAAAGGAGAAAAAAATGATACAGCACCTCCAAACGAAATCTGTGACGTAACTGTCCATCCAAAATATTTGTCTCTGTTATGACTTGAATCACCCACCAGCTTCTTATGCCATTGCAAATGAAGTCTCCTCCCCTGAGTTCTCAACTCCTCCCACCTGGACAAAAGGGGACACAAATCACCTCAATGTCTAACACTAAACTCAGGAGTTAAATCGCTACGTAATGTGCATGTCTGCTGCCCTATCCAATTGCTGCCGCCAATTACAATTCCAGCCCAAAGTAGATTTTTATATCAAATTACATATAGATCCATTTAACCCCAACAGGTGTAAGCAAAATTAAATTACAGAACAAAATTTAGGACCTTTAATTTCAATTGATCTTTATTGAAACACATTTTGTGATATTATGCCACTTATAGTAGTGCTGTTGTAGTGCTATTGTATGCCCAAGCAGCCGCACACTGATGAGGTCACTACATAAAATAACTTAATTTGGCTTCAGCCATGCCACACAGTGCCACCTTTGGTCCATCCACTCGAACAGAGTATGAATGCTATGGCCAATTAAACGAAGGGGAAGGAAGGGGAAAGAAAAAAAGGAAAGGTAGGGGATTCTGGGACTGAACAGTCTGGAGCAGGGACATGCTCCCTTCACAAGCACCCACCATTTCTCTGCAGTTAAAGGTGGAAATCCTAGAGGGAGCAGTGTCTCTCTCTTCCATGTTTGTACTTTACAACAAAGTTTGATACAATTGTTTTGTGTATTTATATCAGAGATTGGTAACACTGTGTACATGCTACATTAGGTTCTTGTTCCATGATTCACCTAATGCCCCATTTCTTTGTTGTTGAGATGTTTATGGATACACTTAAGCCAGACTCTACTTAGACATACCACCAATTGTACTACTGTCTACCTCCATTCTAGGTCTAATAGTCCTTTTTGGAACATTATAGGCATATAATGACAAAGACAATAGAATTAAAGCAACATTAAACCTTCATTTTCTCATTTTCTGGTGGCCAAACTTGATAAAAAAAAAGTTATGTTATCATTTATTTTTATTATTTCCTCATTCTCAAGGGGTATACAGACTGCAAGCCAGCCCCTTCCTGTATGGGTGGCTCCATCAGCTAGCCCACTGCCGTGGAGGCACAGCTAGGTGCGGGTACGGCCGTGACCATGTACGTATGGTACACGGTCACGGCCGTGCCCGCACCTAGCTGTGTGCATCCATAGGCACACACAGCGTGCGGCCGGCCATGTCCCAGTCATAACTATGGCTCCTCTGTCCTCAATACCCTCCCCCGTACAAGGAACTTCGGAGAAACCTGTGTATCTTCCCGGTTTGCGGAAGAGGAGTGGCTGTGGGTAAGTTTGGGGGCGGGGCTGTTAGAAAAGTGCTGGGTGTTTTTTTGCCTCGATGCAGAGAATGCATTTCGGCAAAAAACACCCAGCCTTTAATACTACTTTAAGTGATCTTTGCAGCATATGTTAATTTTGTGCATTACTAAATAAAATCTTTGAACCTCAGTAATTCACTAACATTGTTAACACAACTATATAACTAAATAAATAAATAAATGTATAAAATAAAATGAAATGTTTACAGCAAAGAAAATATTTAATATCTATC